ACAATAATGCACGTCAACCCGGTCAACCGAATAAATCGTTATAAGTTAATTATTATATAGCATTACAATTCATATACTTACTAATAATCGTCAATTGTCGTTAACGTTATCGTTCTTCTTCCCAGGGCCAACCGTTAGTATTTCGTTCGCGGTGGTTATGATTTTATCGACAGGCTCAGAAAATATAGTACGTAGTATCCAAACCGAAAATAGATGTACTGGCGGTAGTGTACGGGTGATTTTTCAATGGTGTTGTGAAAAACGCCGGTATAGCCTTTCTCAGGTGTTCTCAGAATTTTCTCTAATAGAGCTCATTGACCGTAAACGATTTGCGCTGTTGTTATTTAATTTATAAAACGGAAAGCTTGTGAAAAATGGTCATAGCAATTGGATTTGAAGGTAGTGCGAATAAACTGGGTGTAGGAATAATTCGCGATCAACATATATTATCGAATGTGCGACATACTTATGTTACTCCACCAGGAGAAGGTAAGAACCTCAAAGTTTATAGTTTATAAATACTCAAATATATATTAAATTTGTTATTAATGCAAGTTATTTCTTGCATTAATATTATTTTTGCTTTCTATTTAGTTTGTACCACTACTTACGTGTTCAAATTGCAAACTATAATTCCAATTAATTATACTTTTATAGTTGGAAGATAAGTGTGAAAAAGGTAGATTTAAATAAAATTAAATTGTGCATAAGTATTTTAATTTTATTAAAAAATATTGCGTAGTATAAGTCAGCCATATATTTTTTAATACAGTTGAATTGAATTTATGTTTAAAATATGATTAAAGTTCTAAAAATCAAGTTTTGTGTGTATATGAATCACAATTGTGTTTACATTAATATAAAAAGCATTGTATTCTGTATATTAATTTGTACCATATATTAATTACATACGATATATGTTATTTATTTATTTCTTTAATGTTCTTATCATTGATGAATCAATATCAATTAGAGCTTGATTAAAATGAATACAGTATCGTAAAAAGAAAGTAATAAAAATTGAAAGTATCTATTTTACAAGATATAAGGTTTTTTTAATTATTTTAAAAATGAAATTGGTTAAGTATTTCTTAAACTTTTTAGTAGATTATCTATATTCACAGAAGTTCTAAACATTAGATAAATATATTAATATGTAATCTAGGTATGTTTTCATATTAGGTTTTCTACCTCGAGAAACAGCTCAACATCATAGAAAGTATGTATTAGAAGTTTTGCAAGAAGCCTTAGATGATGCAAAAATTAGTCTCAAGGATGTGGATGTAATTTGTTATACAAAAGGACCAGGAATGGGAGCACCATTGACAGTTACTGCTTTAGTAGCTAGGACTGTCGCTCAATTATACAATAAACCTATAATTGCAGTCAATCATTGCATTGGTCATATTGAGATGGGACGTTTAATTGCTGGTACTGAAAATCCTACCGTTTTGTATGTTTCTGGTGGAAATACTCAAATCATTGCATATTCTCAACAAAAATATCGTATTTTTGGTGAGACAATCGATATAGCAGTTGGAAATTGTTTGGACAGATTTGCAAGACTATTAAAGCTCTCAAACAATCCTTCTCCTGGATATAATATAGAGCAGTTAGCAAAAAAGCAAGTAGATTTTTACTTGATTATCATTTAGTCTTCATATAAATTTGATTAATTTTAAATTTGTGCTTAAATTTATACTGGATTCAAATAAATTTTATATAAAAAGAGGTGAGAAACTGGTACTGCTACCATATGTTGTGAAAGGGATGGATGTATCGTTCTCTGGTATTTTAAGTTACATGGAGGAACACCTGTCCAAATGGCTTGATACAAAGGCATTCACTCCTGAAGATTTATGTTTCTCTTTGCAAGAGACTATATTTGCTATGCTCATCGAAGTTACAGGTAACTTCAAGTAGATATATATATATTTTTTAAATCTTTTTTTAATCTTTTTTAATTTCTTTACATTGAATAATATTGTAGAACGTGCAATGGCCCATGTTGGATCAAATGAGGTATTGATCGTGGGTGGCGTGGGGTGTAATGAAAGATTGCAGCAAATGATGAATATCATGTGTAAGGAAAGGAATGCGACTCTTTATGCAACGGATGAGCGGTTCTGCATAGACAACGGTGTTATGATCGCGGTTGCTGGATTGCTTCAATACAAAAGCGAGGGTGGTACTCCTTGGACGCAAACTACTTGCGTTCAAAGATACCGAACAGATGATGTATATGTTTCCTGGAGAAAATAAAATTATGTTTTTAAGAAATTTTTTCGTTCAAATATTTATAAAAATTATAATATTTTAATAATTTAAATTTAATAAAAACGTTTATTATTAATAATTAAAAAATTTCCTGTACTACAATATGATGATATATTGACTGAGTATTATTTATATCAATTGTCGATAATGTCAGGGTTCTTCAATTACCTCCGGATCCTCGGGGCCTTTTTTGCGAGGACGAAAATTTGACTAGGATTGACAATTTTTAATAGTATCTCGTCGGTGCCTATGTATAAAACGCATAACATGTACATGTATTGATATCTTAATTATAATTTATTGATATAAATTATTATATTACTGAAAAAAAATAAAGTAAGAAATAAAAAGAATGTTTTTCTTATGATGTGGGAAGAATCAAACAAAGAATATATTTGAAGCCAGGATCTATGCCAATTCTATTTGATAAACCTTTTTTCTAAATATCGCGACGTGTTACATTAGTCAGTACATTGGCTATTTTATAACTATAATACTTGCTGGAAGCATTTTTGTCTCTTGCTATTTTTCTGTAAAGTTGATAGTACTTGAGGAGTAAAAAATGATTGAAGATCAATAATCGGCGATTTTTAATAATTAATATCTTGTTAATTATTGCGAAAATAGTAGAGAATTTTTCAACTTAGTTTAGTTCGCTCTATCTACACAACAGCGCTTTGTGAATAATTGCGGGATACCCTGTACATGTATGTATGTGTATATATATATATATATATATATAAAATATATGTATATGTATATATTTAAAAATAACATATTCTATTTGTATTCATCACATTTTCTCTTATTATTTCGTACATACAAATGTAAATACAATACATACATTTATAAATAAACCATGCTTGCGTAGCATCTTTTGTAATTTCTAGTGCTGTAAAAAATAAATAACGTACATTATATATTTTTCTCTTAGAAATGTGCAATTTTTATTTGAATGTTTTTTACAATAAGAAACTATTAAAATATTTATACTAATTATAATTTATTATAGTAAATATTATAAAACAGTTAGTCTGTCTATATACATATTTCTTGTGTCAGATTTTAATCAATGCTCGATTTAAATTTTTTTATCAAACATTTAAGAGAATATCCTTAAAGAAAGTAAAAATTGGAAATAGCTTCGATTTCGGAGAATTTAAAAATTATTGATTTTTATATATGATAAGAGAGAGTTGTGATTTTTATTGAATTTACCCTCATATTAATTTAATTATTTTAATTATTTTATTTCAACATTTATATTAATATAAAATTTATGTTGATAGATTTTTAGAGAATATGTAATGTATATCGATTGTATTTACAAGTTCGTTAAATACAATATTATTTGCAAATGATTGGACAAATACACATAAGTAGTTGCTAAGAATTGATTGCTGCACATTATTCGTGTTTCTGTATTTCTAGATAATGTATAACTTACATATAACAACTATCTAATTTAATACGCCTTTCAAGCCTTCTTTCGATCGTTTCAATACTGACCCTGTTCAGATATTATATCGATCGGCTTATTAATTATATACGAAACGTTTTCTGGGCGTATATACGATGTTTTATCGATTTGATCCTAAGAAATGGCAAATGCGTTGGTTGGGAGGATATCTTATTGCATAGCTTTATATGAATTTTGGCAATAACACGTTACAAAGTTGTTTCAGCCAAAAAAGAAATCTGAGTAGGGGAGAAACAGAGATGGATACATCAATCGAATTTGGGTAATTGTTCTTTGTGGAACGCTGTATATAAGCGAATTACGGATAAAAGTATAAATTTATAGTTTGTTATTATTACTAATATTTAATTACTAATATAATAATATTTGTGAATGATGTTAATGATCAAATCTCTGTAGAATTCTAACGAATCTAATTTTTTTTATATTACACACAACTGTTAGAAAATGTATAAGTTAAATGTGTTACGTACTGATCATTGTATAAAACTAATCATTAAATTATAATAATTTCCCCTTAGAAAAGTTTGTATGTAATATAAATGTATATAAATTATAACCATATTTGTCTTTTTCTATAATTTCTCAATTTCCATATACAGGAAAAAAATAAGATTTAAAAAAGAATTGAAAGGATATATAATTTTTGCATCGTTTTTTAAATAAAAAATATATAATCCCACGTAATTATATATAGAATATATAGAATATAATCGCAACTTTACTTTTTGTAAGCAATGCAAAAGTTACTTTCCTTATCATTTTGCAGTTATTTATCTATTTTATATATATTGTATATATGAAAACAGAGATAGTACAAGAGAAAGTAAACATATACATATATAGATATATTTTGTATAATTAAATATATTTATATTTAATTATGTGTATAAATATTTTTTACCGGGTTACTTAAAAATGTATAAATGAATGCTTCAATATTGCAATTAATATAAAATAATAAATAGTTATAGACGGCAATTAGGTATCGAAAATGAGTGTTATCGCGGTAAGTAATAATGCATCAGTTTTCCTACACGCAATATTGACTCTCACTTGAACAGTGTTAGTTCGTCACTGCGGTGACTGGAGTAGAAGAGTAAGACGGGAGACGACGAGCGAAGCGCAGAGTAGCTCCGGCTGCTCCGGCTGCTCCGGTCTCGGGATAATAATCGCTGAGGCAGGCGCACCGCGCACCGCTCCGCTCGCTGGCTTGGCTCCAAGTAGTACTGCCTCTATCGGCATCAACGAGCAGTATAGTGGCAGAGACTGTACCATCACCTCCACTCAAAAGCAATCGACTCTCAAAGGCAATAGATAGTAATGGAAGTACGGTGATTCAATAATTTACAAGTTTTTCGGTTGTTTCACAGCTTCTCTTTTTGTGTCACTCTGTCACTTGACTGATAGCTCTGCGTGATATACATATTATGTAGTAACGATGAAGTCAGATCATTTCTGCCCAGCACTAACCAAAGGTTTGTCGTTTGTCATGTTTTTTCATATACTTTTTTCGTTCTTTTGTCGAACGGTCTTCGTTATTCAAGTATCCGAATCCCAATACGATCTATCCGAGAAGTAAAAATGTCATGCACCCTCCTCGCGTTTGTACCCTAACGCGCGCAATTGTGCCATAGCTTAATCGATAAGCACACAAGGTGTCGATTGCAGCGCCCGGTGGAAAAAGTGGTAGTTGGCACTATTGCTATCTATCTGACTATCATCATCAACGTTGTCATTGTTGTTGTTATCATTATCGTCATTGTACAATAATTAGTCACCAACGTGTCATCGATGACATTGTCATCATTATTGTTGTCACCATAATTGTTTCGTCATTGTCATCGCTATCGCCATTATCGTCATTCTTGTCGTCATCATCATTGGTGTCGTCATCTTCATTGGTATTGTCGTCATCACGCTGTCATTGTTTTCGTCATCATATCATTATTGTCATTTCTGTCATTTTTCTCATTATTCACGTCATCGTCATTATCATTATATCATCATTGTTATAGACATCTTTAAATTGATCATTACTATCATTCGTTACTATTAATCATCGTTATTATCGCAGACATTGTGACCTTGCCAGGGCAGCGTGACGAGATGCGACGCTCCAATGCTATGCACGACGACGCGTTTCTTCGACCAAACGGCGGTCATATTTGAAGCTGAGGGAAGAGAAAGGTGAGTAAGAGTAGATATACCTATACGTACGGAGATCAATGCTTTCAATGCTACTTGCTTTGCATACATCTTTCGTCTATTTCTGTATAGTAATACGGTATATATATCATTTACAGTCGATCATGACATTGACACGATTGTCGAAAATATACCCTAAATCCTCGATCCCTATCCAGATAATTCGATTGTGAGACTATTCTCGTATGTCGCCTCGACTATCAGCTAGTCATCATCTTTCAACATTATGTTTATATATTTTCTTAAAATATGCATATTATTCCAAATTCGGTTTTAAAGGTTCAGTTTTAATATTACGAGAATCAATTGTTTAAAAAGTTTGTACCAAAATTATTTTCTTATAATTATTTAGTAATAATTTGAAATTGGACTTACGCATATATAGAATAAAAAAACATAAGAGATAAGATATTAAAACTGAAAATGTTTAGAACTCAAGAAATAAAAATACAATCATATCAATGCGGGCTGAATTATTCAGTTTTAGTATCGTGTGAAAATGCTTATCGCTATATTTATGATTTCTTTAAAGTTATCAGGCATAAGTGCGCTATTGAAAAATTTGGATTATTTTGTAAAAGTAAATAATTATCGCTAGATATACGATTTCTCTTACAATGAAAACTATCGAGCGCAGGGAAGATCGTTATAACGTGGGAGATTGTTTTACGAATTTTACATGCAAAAAAATGTTAGTATTAGCGAAATTCGCTAAATTTTAGAGGATTTTATTCTTACATACGGCCTCAAGAGGAATCCTCCGAAATTAAGAGGAAAATCCGATCTACTAGCCCAATCTACATAAGATGCAGAACGCGGGTTACGCTGGTTACGCGGGTTACGCGGGTCGCAAAACTAGAAAAGTTAACCTAACGTATTTTAATTATAATAGGTTGTAAGTTGTAGGATGCAGAATGCAGAACGCGCAGGAAGTTGGGTGAACTTCAACTTTCGCGTCCTGTGTCTTGCGTTCTACGTATTGCAGTCTGCGACCTATTATGCGGAGTCGCAGACTTTGACACAACAAAATTAACCAATCACAGACGAATCTGAGAAGAATAATCGACTACGACTTTGGTCAATTTTCTACGTAGACTTAAGACTCTACGACCGCTACGATTGTACTATTGTAAACCCCGTATTAAGCGTCGTCTACACTGAACAGTAGCAGTAGAGGCTAGAGTAAGCTGATTTTTCGGCTCAGCTAGAAATGGTTGATTAATTAACGTCAAATCAATGCTGATTCAACGCTTGACGTCAAATTCGTGCGTTAATTCAACATTGATCGATCAACCTCTTGTAGCTGGGGATGTAACAGAGCGTAGAGTAAGTCCGTAAGCGAAATAGATTTCAACCATTTCGCTAGAGGACTTTACTCTTCATTTATAGTTGATGCGTCCACTTTTTTATAGATGCATTACGTGCTCTATGTAAGATTTATTGCTTAGAGAAAATGCTAAAAGGAATTCGATCTTGACATAGGTGAAGGTGTGTGAAGGTGATTGAAGCTGATTCTCTAATACTAAATACTTATCATCATTTTTCATCTATAACGTGATATAATATGTGCACCCCGATGTCTTTTTTCAGATAATGACACAGCTGAATCGATCGACCGGATCGATGAAAGGAATCGGACGGATTTACGAATGAAGTTGAAAAGAAACGCGGTGGACAAGGAGGAGGAGGAGGAGGACGAAGAAGAAAAGCACAAGATAGAAGTCATTCATTCAATATCAGACAAACGAACGAGAATATTAACATTAATACTACGAAAGATAACTACTTTGCAATCGCGTTGGTGGTCGACAACTTGAACTTGTCGTCACTTCGTGTGTCCGATGCTGAACGAAAGACTCGAGGCGGACAATACATTGGCGGACGGGGAACGTAATGTTAGTGCCGTGGTTACCGGTCCGACGTTTTCATCGTTATCGTCGTCGTGTACAGTGCCCTATATCGGCACCGATCAGGACTACGTGTTCGAAGGTGGCGGTATGTCGATGTTGCAGCAGCTTGGTGCAGGCGGTCGCGGAAACACCGATTGTATTAGTGGCGGAGGAGATCTCGGGTTCAATGCATCGATAGGAGGATCGGGGACTGGATTAGGTGGTGGGATTGGATTCGGTGGAATCGGTACTGAAGGAACTGCGGGAGGAATTGCAGTAATGGGTGGAAGAGGAGGAGGAGGAGGAGGAAGTGGTGGAAACATGAATAAGGAAGTTCGTTACGCTCCATTCGTGTCATCTGTAGGTCCAATCAGTACCGTAGCCCCAATAAACCTGCAATCTTTACCACCTCCACCGCCACCTCCACCACCGCCTCCACCGCCGACGCCGCCGCCGCCATCGCCGCCACCACCGCCACCGCCCCTACCGCTGCAAATGCAGCAGCGTGCCTTTTCCAAGTCGATGACATCCCTACCACCGGAGCCGTTCATGATTATGCGTTCGAAGGCTTTAAATCGGCGCGTTTCAATTAATGTTGGTGGCGTGAAGCACGAGGTACTCTGGCGTACTCTCGAGCGGTTGCCACATACGCGCCTAGGTCGACTAAGAGACTGCAATACCCATGAGGCAATAACTGAACTCTGCGATGATTATTCTCTAATCGACAATGAATATTTTTTCGATCGACATCCTAAATCATTTAGTTCTATTCTTAATTTCTATCGTACTGGCAAGCTTCATCTAGTAGATGAGATGTGCGTTTTGGCGTTTAGTGATGATCTCGCATATTGGGGTGTTGACGAGCTCTATCTTGAAAGTTGCTGTCAGCACAAGTATCACCAGCGTAAGGAGCACGTACACGAGGAGATGCGCAAGGAGGCAGAGTCACTTCGACAACGTGAAGAAGAAGAATTCGGTGAGGGAAAGTGCGCTCAATACCAGAAATGGTTATGGGATCTTTTGGAGAAACCAACTACCTCCATTGCGGCACGGGTGAGTCGGATTGTGGCTTGAAAACCGATTTGTGCGTGTATGAGTATGCGACAGAAGACAATGCACACGAGAAACGTCGCGCATCGTCACCTGCTCTATCGTGTATGCATTTAGACAGGATGTCTTATTGTTAGTCAAAACGGAAAGCAGTAATATGAATATATAAATTATCAGTTATTTTTTCTTTTATAATTCCTGACTTTCTATTATTCTTCTTCTTGTGTTGCTTTTGATTTTATCTCACATTATTTCACATTTGCTTGATGTTAGTTATTTTCTCATTCTCAGTAGGGTATAGTATGTGTAATCACACACAACTGTGACGTAATGTTGTATAAATTATTAATACTTAATCATATAAATAACTAATACATCCCAATATTGTTTTTTTTACATAACTACAACAATTTTTATGTTAACTATAATTTAAAGAAGAGAAATTTATTTTATGATTTAAGTGATAATTAATGTTTAAGATAATTATGAAGTTAGGAAGTATTTTAAGAAAAAACAAATATTATCGTTATATTATTAGATATCAAAGTATATTAGAAAATTTCTAATATTCATATTGATGATCCAATTTTCATGGAACATCTTGTCATAAATCACGATTTATCATGAGAAAACAATTATTTTGAATTTAAACCTTAAATTGAATCGTTAGAACAAAGACTCACAGAATTCGATACCGATTAGTTTAAATTATTAAAGGTAACTAATCATATCGTTAAAATTATCACTATTTAAGTATTTTTACAATGTGTTCGAGTGGCGGTTAAAAATACATTAAAAATAAAGTTTCAAATCTAATTAGTAACTATTTAAATGTTTATTTTTAATTTATGAAAAGTTTATGAAAAGTCATTATTTTGGCAATGTTTCAAATTGACTGCCAACGCTGAAAAACTACAGTTTACGTTATGTGCACTATAGATTTTCAGTACTGGCAGTCAATTTTGGAACACAGCCTTTGTATGCAAGAAATGTTGTATTTTCGTGGCTACATCTGACTTTCTCTGACTGAATTCTATTAAATGTATTCTATCTCTATCTGAGAAACATTGAAAAATTACAAAACAGTGAAATTATTTATGTTTCGCACAATGTTGTTTTTCAATATTTGGACTGATTGCATCGACGATCTTAATTATTTAATAATAATCTGATTAAAAAATTAATTCGCTGAAATTATCGTTATTGATAAATGTATTGTGTGATATAATACTATAAATTACATAAATTTCATATTTGTATCTTTTTAACGTCTTATCAATTTATTGTTTATGTATATTTATGTTATTCTACTGTTTTACTTACAAGGAAAGGTTCCCGGGTGTTCCCTCTGATTTTAATGCAACTTATTGAGTTTGTACTGTGTTTGTATAGGATGTAAAATACCAATTTTTTTTTCTTATCAACAAACATGTTTAAGGAAGAAATCAGCCTGCATTTTCGTTTTTCAGCTGTAACTTCTAAACGAAGTATAATAATGTAATTTTGTAAATATACAAAATATGTCCGCCCCCCCTCCCTCTCCCGCCGTGAGTAGGTAGAGCGGACTCAATTGAGTTGAAAAGTCCTTTATCATTTTGTAATTTTCATAATACTTTAGGATATGTTAATTTCTAAAGATGACTGAATAAAAGAGCACAAGTATCTGCGCGGACTACTGTCAAGCTTTTTTTTACATAATATGATTTTCTTCTAATTATTCTGCATATAAAAAAGTAAGATAGAGATACCCTAAAAAAATCAATAGTTTACGAGATATTTTATACTTTATCCTGACACATATTCACATGAAATATTAAATATCTCGTAAATTAATAATTTTTTGATAATCGTTAATATTTTTACAAACAGAGTAATAAGATGAATTAACTGATATAAAAAAGATATATAACTATCCGTTTTGCCTTTTTAAAGTAACTATTTTCTTTACATCGTATATTGTTCAAAAATTATAGTCGAGAAACGAATTTTACTGATTTTCGAGGACCGATTTCATTTTTTAAACATGTTTGGTTGCCGATAAAGAAACATGTATCAGATATTTTTATCCTCTCTACAAACCCATCAAGTTTCATTAAAATCGAAGAGGGGCATACTTAGAAGTCTTTCCCTGTTAGTTTGACAAACCGTGATATTATATATTACTATTTTATATATTTTATGTACAATTAGTTTAATAGCATAATTGAATTCTAGAAGACATTATGTTTGTTTTGTGATTTTTTTACTGTTAGAAGTAAAAAAATATTTTATTTTATGAATTATTTGTTTTTTTTATACATAATGTAAATATGTTATACTTTTGTATATTTTTTAAATGTATATTTAGTTGCAATAAAACGTTTTCTTTGAATTGATATGTATACTATAGTTTTCGATTTGTATTGTCTCGAAATTGTCTGAAAATGGTGAGTTGGGGTTAGCTGTTATACCTCGATCGAGGAAGATTGTTACGGTGTAACAATTGGACTTTTAGATATACCATCCCTGAAATGCATACACTCCTCAGGTAGCTCCTAATTATCGTCATACACTCGAGGTGACCAAATAATAAAAAAAAACCGGGATTAAAATATAACTCTACCCGTTCAAATGCGACCTTCTGAGAGCCTCGGTCTTTCGCTTGGTCTTTCCGGCTCGACATTAAGCGTGTTCTCGCACTTTGCGAGACGGCGGAGAGGCGCTGCGACGCCATAACAACCCTGCCTCATAACAATATACATATATATACATATATATGTATTTTTTTTTATTTCGAGTTTTATAATAATACTTCTATAAATTCGCAAAAATATAATTATACACATTTATATATAACACATAAATTTGCTATGGTTATAATTATGTTTCGGAAAATATATCAGTTAATACAATATATTATTTGGTAAAACTATGAGAAAGAGAAAATCTAGTTTCAATAAGTTTTAATTACGGCATGTATTATTACGATTATGACTCAGAATAACTTTCATAAACTGCTACACATTATTCACTAAAATATTATGTCCGTTATGAATAAAAAAAAGTAAAGTATTATTAAATCCAACTTAATCTTTAACAATAATACAGATATGTCAAGTTTAAAATCGAAATCGATGAAATTGAGTCTTCTTTTAAGCAATTATTTGATTAGAAATGCAAAATAGGAATATTTGATTTGAATTCTTTCAAAAACTGAGTTAGATTTGTATAATTATTTCTAGTATTGAATAAATATGATGATTTATTAACACAATACATTATAGTGCACGAAAGAAGAGTTAAACTAAGTCATGTTGATGCAGCCGGTTCTTAATTATTAAATTTTATCTTTAAGGTTGATGACGTGATTTTTTTATCATGGCATATTAGATGATTCGCGACGTTTCCCCTCTCATACAAAACTTTCCTTACATCCGTCTCAGAAGGAAACTCGTATTATTAATTTTTTTTTGGTTAATTGATCTTGTATTTATTTATTGCGCATTTATTCTGGCTTTTTGCACGCGTATTAATAAGGATCCAAGATTATCGAATAACTTCATATAACACGTATACATAAGGACTCAGAATTGAAGCATTTTGGACATGAGCCAAATTCATTAATTGCCACATTTAAATTCTTATTTAACGTTAATACTTTTAGACGGACTTTTGTTTGCATTAATCGATATATTCACGCTTGCAGTTTTTTTTTGCAGGAGTGAGTCTTTATTAACTTTACAAGCAAAGGTATTAGATCGATATTGCAATATCGATTCAATGTAACTCGCACATAGGTGAACAGATTAGAAAGAACATATAACTTTTAATTCAATTTTATTTTAAATTACACCATGAGGCACTCAATCGATAAATCGTAATCGATTTCGCTGACTTTCTGAAATATTTATAAATTTTATTGTAAATAAATGGTAGTCTAACAAAAATTTGGAATTACTTAATATTGTATATATTTTTGCATTTTATAAGTTTTTATAATACTTGTTAAAGCATTTTTATTAATATTATATTTATTAAACAAGAGTCAAGTACAACATTAATCATTAACAATGATGTATGTATTTACAATGATATATGATCTTAATGTATATGATGATATAGGAGAATGTATAATTTTTTAATTATAATTAAAAATATATAAAAAGTGACACACAGTGAAAAGAATGGCATGCTTAAAGTTGCAATAGATTGTCAATAAGTCAAACATATTTTTTAAAATGTACTTAATACAAATATATCTTGAAAACTTATATTTATAATATATTAATAAGAGAAAAATTTGTGTACTTTTAAGTGTTACATTATAGCTATTAATCTGATATATTTTTCTGATCATGCCTGTTTTATTGAGAAAAATCTTTTAAAACATTATTTAATTATTTGACTAAATATGAGTAGAAAGACAACAAAGCTTTTAAAGGATTATCCTGAGAAAATAATTTCTATGTGACACCATGCAGCAAAATCGAATTCGCGTGAATCGATCGAGTGTAGTTCGTAAGCCATAAAAAATATATCAATTTATTTACTTTCTATTTAGTTTTAGCATGCTGATTAGCATCATGTTTTACTTTGTTATTGATATTTTACTTTTATCTGGATAATCTTATATATAATAATATGTTCGCTGTCATTTTAGTGTAAATTCACATGTATATGTATATAGTACATATATGTATGTATACACATATATATATTATAGGAAAAATTACTTTTAATATTTATTATATTTTATATATTTATATTTTTACTTCTAGGTGAAGTTATTCAACATAATACTAATCTGTCTTTTTCTCTATCTGTATTATTAGCTTCTAATCCATAGTTTGTATTTATCCCAAGCATAAATGATCATCGTGTTATGTAATCGGCTACCGATGATAATGGGAGTGCTTTATATGCGATTACCAGGTATCACGTTGATTCTTTCTCAACACCGCTCCCTAAGCGTTATTAACAGTCGCTGCCAGCGAATTCAATTCGATATTGTGTATATATACACA